TTTGGAAGAAATGTTATTGTTAAACAATCAGTATTAAATGGTAGAACTTCGTATAAACAATTGTTTAATGAAAGATAGAAACAAGAACGAACAATCAACTCTAGAATCATATTTTATTTTGCATGAATATTTACTTAAGAAATCTTTGATTTGTTCGAAAAACGTATATTCTTTTACCTTTGTTATTTTATGATCAAAAACTACATATATTTTTATGTTTATATAAATATTTATTTCTTTACATAATTAAAAATATGCTTTTTGTGTTTCATTGTTCTTTTTTTTTAATGCCTTTTTACAAAAAAAAAAATGTTTTATAGAATTTAAATTACTATTAATCTTTTATTGCAGCCAAACAAACTCTGTAACATCACATGCATATTTGTAATATATGCAACCAAATGAACGTATATAATATTTTATAAATTATATTCGTGATTGAATAATGTTATAATTAACCAAAAGTATAAATGAGCAATTATAAATTTCTCGGAATCTTCTGAAGTATTCAACAGCAAAGTAATTAATTGGTAATCAATAATTTTTTAACTATTTTTTAAATTTTAGCATCAGAACGTCCTCAATCTATTTTAAATCACTGCATTGTCCATAAACAACTGATCTCTTCAAAATGAATTGTTATCAATTAGTTGTAGCTCCAGGGAATTGAGAATAATAAACGAAGGTAGGATTGTTGTTTATGAACAATATTAAGAAATAATGTCTAGAATGAGAAAAAATGTCTTCATTAATATTCTAAAATCTGTAGATTAACAGAACAACTAGACAAACAAACAAAATTAGTAAATAAATATCAACTTCTTCCATCAAGAAAATATTAATAATTTAGTCCATATGTTAGTAACTAATAATTTCTTAAAGATTTTCAAAGGCAACAAAAAACACTTTCTTACGGGATTTCCGGAACAATATTGATTGATTTGAAATTAACATTGTAGAGAAACTCGCGAATTTCTACGATTCAACAACACGACGAACAAAAAAAATAATATACAGACATAAATAGAACGGACGATAATTGTTGATTACTTTCTTATTGTATTCCGGATGTCCTTGGAGATTAATTGGTCGAATATAGTAATTGTGTTGTTGAAATAAAGAGGACTTCATAATTTCTGGAGAAATTTTGTAAAAAATAATAATAGTAAGAACAAAAAATTAAATTAAATTGAATTAGTGGCGCATTCTTGCTTCAAATCTGACGTCAACAGATTGGGTCAACGTTTTGTTGCTTGATAGCAATTTCTTTGAACATCTGTTCTACAAGTCAGACGAGAATTATTATTCCGTTTCTGAAGCATACGTATAGGTATTTTCATTTTTATTATTGCAAAGTTGCGTATTCTCTTCACTTTCCATGTTAAAGCATTTTTTTTGTATTGGCTTCATACATTTTGTTTAGTATTAGCATTTTATATTTTAGTTGGTTACGTTTGGTTGTTAACCCAAATATTCTTACAATATTGAGAATTTCTATTTTTCTTTGTAATCCCTTAAATGTTAATTAATTTAAGCAAGGTAATAATTGTAATATTAACTTATTATTAGATTATTAAACTTTCACTCGTCTTTTTCTTGATAAAAACTTATGTTCTTTGAAAAATAGTCATATCTCAGTAATAATGAAGCTTCGTTATAACAAAGTTGGTAATATGAACTTAAAGTTGGCCAAAAGTTAAACAAGAAAAAAAAATATATCCAAGAAATTAGAGATGAAGTTACTACGATTTAATGAATAGGTTTCAAACATATCGATGATTAAGATGTTAGAAATTTATTGAATGCAGAAGATTGAAGTAAAAGATAATGAAGACAAAATTAAAGAAGTTTCAGCCGAAAATGTTAACAACCAAATATTTGAAAAAGTGCTTAAATGACATTGAAAAAATTGTATGTGTTTGGTAAAAAATAATATAATTTAAGAATAAGTGTTATTATTAATCAATTAGTGTCAAATGCATCAAATCCATACAAGCAATTGTTAAATGAATGAGGCATAAAGTAGAGATAAGTAAGTTTAAAATGTGTTTTCACTTTCCATGTAAGCTGACTATTAATTTAATAAAACTTTTCTTTGTTCGAAATATTGCTTTACATTATTTACACTTACCATTATGACACTAGTATTTTTTTTACCTCTGACAACGAAGTTTTGCCGAACAAAGTAATTTTGTGGTTTGAATAATATTAGTTAATTGAGGTATGACTGTATAATGTTTAGAATCAATGAATTCGTACACATTTTTTAGAATAGATTTGCTTGAGTAAATTTATGGATAGAAATGTTTCAGATATTACTGTATATAATAATATTTCAAAATTTATCATTTTTGTGTGAAAATACTACAATACCTCGAGTGCGATTTAGCACAATTTGAAACCGGATTAATCGAGAACTTTAGACTAAACAGCACATAAAGAGACTCGACTGCATAGATGAAAAAACCGTACTATAGTGAATCTGCATTGATTAAAGCTGAGGTATTTCTATATAAATTAATATGTAATAAAGTCAACGAGATCGAATGTTTGTATAGTTTTTATTACATTTACAATACAAAATAGGTCAAGTAGAAAACATAATGAATGGTAACTGCGAAGAACATATGTTTTGTTTTATGTCGTAGTCATTTTTTTTTGTAGAAGTTATTTTATTAACAATCTATCATGATTGAACGTTCACTAAATTTAAGTGTGGATGACGTTAATTGGATAAACTTTCTCGATGGATTGAAACACTTGAGTCTTTGTTCGATTAAACTATATTCCATTACTAACAATGTATCGTATATTATTGTCTGTATACTTTAAATAATATAGAAGTAAACTATCATTTTGAATGCATTTTGATTTGAACGAATGTTTTTTGTAAAAAAACGTCTATTCTTTATTATACTCCGCAATTATTTAATAATTTAAATGCATTTATCGATGTAGTAAACACTAAGTTTGCAAAGGGCAGAAAGACCTATTATTAATAGCCCTTTGCAGTAGTTGAAGTATTTCCAAAACTTGGAGATGGAAACTGAAAAAGGGATTAGTTTTTGAAACACCTTCAGTACGACAAGATCACTTGACGAAGATGTATTACGATGGAGAAGAGGAAATTTTAGATTACGAGGAGAATATCGAGGATATTAGTGTCAATAGTGAATATAAAAATAGTTATTATGCGGACACAATTGCCGAAATTTTGGCCATGAAGAGAAATAGACAGAGTATGCGGTTGTCTGAAATAGAAAGAATTAAGAATGAAAAGATCGAGAAGGAAAAGGCTGACGAAGATTTTGTCAAAAACAAGATGAAAGAAGCATAAAGGAAGTGTTTGCAGGAGGCGGATGAACTTCTGAAGAGACTGGATTGTCTGAAAACGTGTATTTTCTCAAAAAATGTTTATTTTTTACTCTTGTCAGTACATCTTTCAGTTGCTCAAATAGTCCGGACTCTTTGAAACCACCTTTTGTTTTGAATTTTATAAATCAGAAAGTTTTTTAAATTTATTAAAATTTATTGATTAATTAAATTACATGTTGTGTTTTAGAAGGGTCTAGTTAGTGAATGGAGGAGATTCAATAGTGTATTTAAAGCTTTCGACGTATTATTGAATTAATCGAGTTACTTCAATTGGGTCAATTAGATATTAAATTAATGAATGTACTTTCGTTCGCTGCAACGATGAATGTAAATTGATTGAAGTCTACGACGCGTAACCTTTGTATTCTCATGTGTGCACAAATTACAAGATGATGACTCTGTAACAATAGGTAACGGAATAAATAGAAACAAATGGGAATGACTTTTAGCTGTTTTTGTGTATATGTGAAATTGCTTACATTAAATTAGATAATTAGTTTAATTATTGTACATGGATTGATCGGAATACAAAAACAGTAGTTTTTTTTCTATAGAACTATTCTGATCATGTTATAAATTTGTATTGTTTTAATTTATTGATATAAAATAAATTATTTTTAATATTTATTGATATAACAGAGCTATAAAATGTGTTGTAAATATATTTTGTACAATCAATTAAAAATTTAAACATTGAGACCAACTTTCTTAACAACATTAAATTGTCGAATTAAAAAGTACGAAAAGTACGAAATTAAAAATCTATAATTTAGAAAATTGAAGACTGGGTTTCTTGTCAAATTATTCTCATCGATTCATTTGAAAATAGAAAAATAATAACATACTTATATTATTCATCATTAATTAATGTACATCGAAACTGATTAGTTACATACTGAAATCATAGTAATTTTTTAATAAATATTTTCAAAGTTAGCAAATTCGTTAAATAAAGACGGTTTGAAAATGAAATTCTGCATAAAATCAAATTGAAAAATAATAAAAATCTTAAATAATATAATATTAACTTAACAACTTAAGAATTGAATAAAATAAACGTAATAAATAGGTAAACTATAAACTTAACTTCAATTTATCTTACAAAAGAGAATAACATATTTTAATACTGCATAAAACCGAAATTACAGTGTATTTATTTCAATGAAAGTTTTAACTTCGTATGAGAATGTAATAGTTACTGAATAAAATGCTTAAAATAATGAACAAAATATTTAAAATTTACATCCAATTCAAACACAGTTTGATAGTAGATGATGTTGAATTTTGTAGTTAAATTTCCAATTACCCAATTACCAAATATCTTCGGCATTTTTGCAAAATACGATTTGTTAAAACTTGTTGAACTTTCAAACAAAAATATCACTTCTTTGAAATTTGATTAGTCCATTATATTATGGCAATAATAAAGTACTGACAAAAATTAAAATTTTAGAAATTTTCATTGTAGCATAAAAATAAACTTTATCCAAACATTTAGCGTTTGAAATATTCCAATTTTGAAATTTCTAGTTTAATTTTCGAACAAATGAACTTATTATTAATGAATAGATTGTAAATGATGATAAAGCAGAGAATAAACATAAATAATTATGAATGTGATTTGTGTACGATAAATACGTAACTTTTATTCGTGTATACTTCAACAAATTGGCATAATAACAAAATAAATAATAACAAAAAAAATGGGGTGAACGTTAGATGATTGAATTAGCTAAAATTGTTAATATTAGTGCGAAGTTTAGTGGTAATGGCCTAAACCTTGTCCTCCCCTAGCTGGAACGGTGATGTAATGCTGTAATGCGGCATCGGCCTGCGCCGCATCCTCTTGAGCTTGATGCTCGGCACCTTGATCAGCGGAAGCTTCGTACTCCTCCTGCCCGTGTCCTTCATATCCGCTCTGGACGGCTTCGTAGGACTTCTGCGCTTCCTCGTAACCTTGTCCAGCAGCTTCGACGTTCTCGTGTCCTTGATATTGGGCGGCCAAACCGTTCTCGTGTCCCTGATATTGGGCGGCCAAACCGTTCTCGTGTCCCTGGTACTGTTGCGCGGCCAAAGCGTACTCTTGCTCTTGGCTACCCGAGTTTCCTTGAACTTCGCCTGATTCCTGATGTCCTTTGCCAAAATCGGATTGAACTGAGGCTGTGGCATAGCCCGGATCATGCTTATCGTGACCGTGGTGGACCTTCACGCTGGAAGAGGTCTTTCCCCTCGAAATAGGATGTTCCAGATACTGCTTGTCCTCCTTCTTGATGTAGGTTGGGACCGCGTGGAAGTGCTCCATGTGGAAGTTCTGGTAGGAAGTAGCGGTGTGTCCATCTGCAGACTCGTGATGGATTACCCCGCATTGGGCAACGGCCAGAAGGGCGGATACGGCGACCTGCGAACCAAAAGAAGAAAGAAAAGAAAGTGAAAACGATCGAATAGAAATTGCGCAGGAATCCCGGAAGAGAGGCAAGTTCAAGAATGCAAATCCCATTGCCGGGATCGATTGAGTTGCATCGACCGTTCTCGCTCCACTTTACTCTATATTTAATCCTCGTCCTCGAAAACTTCTCTCACACTCTTTCTCTAACTATCAAATATATACACTTCCTGTTAATAAATTATAAATCTGACCCAAAATCGCAGCCAAATACAAATTTCGCATTCGAAACTGCAGAACCGAACCAACGGAACAACATTTAATGTCTAATACATCTTCTAATTGAAGGGGAATTCCGTTGCGGATAGAAAGCAGTCGAACGTCGCCGTTGCATAAGATGAGAAACACTTACGAGTACTTTCATTGTTGATCTCTTTGATGCTGATGGTTGTTGGTCGGATGGGCTTTTGGATCGATGATGGACTGATGATTTTTTTCCGCGGAATGCACTCTTTTATATCGTGCCCGGTATTAATTGGAAGGGGTTTTGGCGGCTAGAGGAAAAAGGAAGTGGAGGATGATGCACACTATAAAGAATATATTCCACACATATTATATATACACGGGAGCCTTATCCTCACGCCAGTTTTCACCTTTCTCCATTGGAAATCTTTGCGTTTTAGCATGGAGATACGTGGTGAATTTAATCGATCAGGTTCACTTTTATCATTATTATACATCTATATATATATAAGGACATGCACTAACCAATAGAAAAAAGCAAACAAACCCATTCACCAATATTCATTAATAATTAAAGTCATTTATAATTGAGATTATAGATAATTAATAGCCTGAAAAAAAATGTTAATCGAATCATCATCTCATTATAATCAAAATTCTAACTATTTCAGCTTTTTTTTCGAAATATTTTATTATTTCTGCTAATTTTACTATTTCTTTTACTTCTATTAATCCTTATATGTCCACTATTTCTGGCACATTTACTATTACTTAATTATTTCTGATATTTTTGGTATTTATTCCATTTCTTACAATTACTATCATTTTTTTAACAATTATTCTACGTTTATCATTTCAATCGATTTTTGATAAAAAAAAACTGCTAATTAATATACATTACGAGGGCAGTTTGAAATTTTTTGAAATTGACACATATAAACTAGTAATAAAACGAAAATTTCTCCGGCATTTCAATATATCATCTGTCCTAAACACATTTTAAAATTTGTATTTTAATCTGTTTATCAGTTGTAGTTTAACTGTCGTTTAACGTGTCTCTGCAGGTTTCTAAGATAGAAAACGCGAGTAGTGATAAAATTCTTTGTTTTTGAAGCTTTATTGGTAATAGAAAAGCTGGTAAATGTATTGAAGCAATCTAAACAATGGTTAGAATCTGGTTTAAGTGAACCAAAAAAGTGATAAAATTCTTTCGTTTTGACAACAGAAATTCATACCAAGATGGTAAAGCAATCTAAACAATGGTTCAAATCTACCAGAAAAGTCTGTTAAATCTGCAGGAAATGTTATCGTATTAGTTTTTTAGGTTGCAAAGGGAATTTTATAAATAGATTGTCTTGAGAAAGGTAAATAATTAATTTAGATTATTATACAAGCCTGTATGATCAATTGGATGAAAAAAAAAACGTGAAAATGATTCTGGCTTACAGAAAAAGGAAATAATTTATCGTCAAGATAACGCACCAGCTCACAAGAGTCAAGTTTTGGTCAAGGCAAAAATCAACGAAGTATGAATTGCTTGAACATCCATCATATTCGCCAGATTTAGCTGCATCAGACTTCCATCTATTCCCAAACCTGAAAAAATATTTCTGGAATATTTCATTTTTCAAGTTTCATTTTCAAGCGAGAAGTAGCTTCATCTTGCTATCACTTCTTGCAAAAGTATAGATGACGATTTTGGATCAGATTTTGAAGATGAAATTCGATTATATTCACACGTTGCTCAGTCGTGAATTTCTTCATATTAAATTTCCAAGAATTATAGTTTAATTGTAAAAAGTTATTATAATTTTTAATGAGTCAGTGACTTTTGGGCCACCTTTTATTTAAAATATAACAGTTTTTGGTAATTTTGGAAACCAAATATATAAACAAAATAATATGATTAAAAATTATTATATAAGTTAAATTGTGAATGATTCTAAATGATTAACTGGCTTTGAACAATTGGCGCATAAAAATAGTTTGCAAATGAATTATAGCAGCCGCTCGTAGGAATCTCTCTGGCTTTGAGCCACGCAAATTGTGCGTCGCAGTTTCTATAATAAACGTAGCCAAGAAATTGCAAGTAATCAGAGTTTGCAGAATTGGTTTAATCCCATTTCGAAAATCGAAAATAACTGGAAAATTAAAATTTGCATGTTCTGATCGTGCATCATTTGTGTGAAAGTGGTCTTCGACGTATTTCTTAGAAACTGAAATTATGCGCATGATTGCAACGACAGATGTCAATAGAATTTTAGAAATATTTCCTTGCTTGATTTTACTTAGTAATTTAATTAATGTAATTCCTTTATTATGTAATTAGTATTTCAAAACGACTTAAATAATAAGTTCTATTGACATTATATAACATTATATGTGAAATAATTTGTATAAATATTATGAAAACAAATGTAAGTATACAATTATTTCACTACCTTAGAATTTTATTGAAATATGTTTAATTAATTGGAAACTTCTTGTATTATTTGTTATTTCTCATACTTTTTCGCTATTTCTGATATATTTATTATGTCTGCTATTTGTACTATTTTATTACTATTTAACATTTTTTAATTTTTTATTTATTATATTACTCCTTCTGTCCGGAAAATGAAATAAAATTAAAGAAAAAAAATATTAAATTTATTTTATATATATAATTTCAAAAAAAGTTAACTGATAGAAAGGACTATTGACCATAGGACTTTTTGTCCAATTTATTTTATTTTCACAATATAACTAAATATAAATAATTTTAGTGTAATCCAGTTTTTAGTTAAAGTTAGATTTAGCCTTGTTGAACGCTTCTTTTGAACAAATACATTTTGTGTGCATTTCAGTTGATCTACCCTCACGACCAAGTTTTACCTTATTTATATGAAGAAATTTATTGGAATTTTCTCGTCCTGTTAACATAATTGATTTTATACACGTTTGTAATGTTTAAAAACGTTATCAATACATCAATTGTGTTTGGCGAAGCTTCATGTTGTAGTGAACAAATAGAGTAAAAAAAAAACAAATCGAGATCGTTTAAATCAGTAGAGGTTGTGACTTAAATTGAATATTCCAACCGTCAGTAGAACCGTGTTCTAATTTATCTGTGTTCTTCATACAATGTAATAATCGTTGCAAAATACCATGACGTTGTTCATTAGTCAATTGCTTCGATTTGGCATCTCTTCTTTATAAATTCACGTTATTTTACAGCGGTGACTATTATATTTTTATTAAAAAAAAAAATTTTTGGTCTTCAAATTCCAACTTATCTCAACGATTGTCAAATATGTTATGTTATTTAATTATCAATGTAAACAATACAAATACAGGTATCTCCTAGACTTACAAACTAGTTCCGTTCCAAAGGATTGTTCATTAGTCGAATTTGTTCGTAAGTCGGGGGAATTTTAAAAATTACAAAATATACTTATCTTATCACACTTTATCATGGTTTTTACCTTTATATATGTTAAATTCCGTATTACTGACTGCATAAATTTGAAAAAAATAAATTAAAATAAACAAAATACTTACAAATGCTTTTCAATGTAGATATCACAATTATTTAATAAAAAAAACGACAAAAGAAACAAAGGCAACAAAACAGATAGTACATCTTCCAAAAATATTATATTTTATTAAAGAAATTATCAATTTTTGTTTTTTATCAGTATATATCTCCTTGTAACAAGTTAGATCTTTTAAAATATTGTTCGTAAGTTCGTAATTCGGGGTATACCTGTATAATGAGTATTGACAGTTGCTTTCGAAAGTCTAAGATTTTCTTGCAAATGTATACTATATTTTCGGACAGAGGGAGTATAATTTTTTGGCCAGAATTAGGGAGAAATAAATACATCATAATATACCTCAGAAAATAAATGTTATTGTACTTTTATTATTTTTAATATTTCTTGTTTCTGCAACTTTACTACTTCAAATATTTCTACTATTTGTGTTCCAATATTGTTCTAATATTTGTTCTATTTCTAATACTTTTTTTTTTAATATTAATATTATTGCTATACTTACAGTTTCTGCTACTTTTGTATTTCAAATATTTCTACTATTTGTAGTAGTTTTCATATTTTCTGTTCTTTCTAATATCTTTACTATTTCTCATGTTTTTGATACATTCTTATACATTTATTATTTCTGTTATTTCTGCTGCATTTACTATTTTTCATGTTGCTATTTATTTTTATATATTCTGCTATTTCTGTTTTTTTTTACTATTCCAAAATTAGTTTCATCAATCGTACTATTTCTTGAAAACATAATTTTATATTTTTGTAGAAGGTGAATATAAGAAAATGTCAATTTATATATTTTCTTTTCATATATATTTATTATTATTTAGCTAATACATACAATATATATATTTATATAATATTTGTCCATCATATATTTGTTGTCATCTTAAATAGTTAATAATATAGTTACTTTTATTTATTTTTTGTTGTTGTAGTTGTTATAATATATTAATTATACAGCTCTCCTTAAACACTAATGACTAGAAATCTGACTCTTCGCGTTTGCTTTTTGTCAGCGGGTCCTGACGCGGACCCGCAAAGCAAAGTTTTTAGAACGACATCGGGAAAAAACGATTTCCACGCGATCTCTTCCCGACGTTTAAAAACAATAAGACAAAAAATGAAAATCAACAAAAATAAAACTAGTTAACATCCTACAAACTATCATTCAAAAAGTACGACACACTTCTCAATTAGATTAACATTCCTCATCGAAACAGATCTTTGTATATATTTCGAGTAACAACATATAAATCTGAATTAATCCGGTTCGATTGAAAATCATTCAATTACGACTGACTCTCAATTAAGCTCTTCGACAATATTACATTCACTAAATCTAAATCGACTAAATAAAATGTGTTCGCCTTATTTTCAGTTTTTTTTTTTAAACCAAAACGAACACATTCTTTCTACTATATTTTAGTGTTGCCTTCAAATATCATTTTTTTACAATTATACAGATTCTTACATATATTTTCTTAGACGATACGTTATTAAAATACATTTTTTTTAATCTTTGGTTGGTTCTAGCTGCATGAAACTCCTTTTTTTAGGTTTGTTTGCATCGAATGCTTTAAATTTATAAATCAATATAATACACACATACATATATATATAGTTCAAATAACTAACAGACACCAATTTTCAATTGATATGTAGAAAAAACGAAAAGCACCTGAAATTAGAATTAGTGTGTACTCGCTTATAGTTGCAGTTGGTTTTTAGAATGGTCGTGATCGTTTACAAATTAATAAATATAAAAATAAAATATGCGAACAGCAATTAAATTGCTGTTTTAATTAGTTTGTTATTAATTATGTTTTTTTTTTGCTTTTGTTGGTTCGTTTAACGGCCGGAAATTGGTTCCAAATTCGTCTGAAGCACACGCATCTGAACTGGTTTAATCAATTTCCCAGAGCGGCGACCTTATTCAAATAATCTCTATATACTTTCTAAACGTTAATTCATCAGATAATATCGTCTTACAATGGATTACAGATATAGACAAGCAATTAGTGTTAACAATTATTTATGTGTTGTCCAAGTTCCGTTTAGAGGCACGAAACTGCCAAATTAGACCTTACACGCTACTACACACGTATCCATTAAGCATAATATCCACTATTACAATATTGTCCGTTCATTTCCTACTTATTACTTATCTTTTTTTTTTATATATTACACTTACAATTAATATCTTTAGGTTTTTTCTTTAAATCACTTTATCCGGAGGATAGAAGTATTTCAGAACCGAAACCTAAAGGATCTTGCAGCATTCGCAATGCTTATAGTCGTTTAGCTAAGCTATTAACAGCCATCAACTAATCTTTTAAATTCTCTTCAACGCTCGTAATTAAACCTAAATAAATCAATAGTTTTACATGTTATTTCGAGTAAGTTCAAGTGTTACATTTGCATCAAGTCAACAAAAGACGAAACACTTTTAACTATCACGTCTACGCTCATCCGTAATACTTGATTATTACTTTATGGTTACGTTATATGCTTACATTTAGATAATAATACTTTCAATGGAATTTGTTAAGGAATTCAATTGGTTTCTGGAAGATTATGCACCTAATCGCTGTCGGAACTTGATTCGGCTTCTGGAATCGGCTTGGGCTTCTCCTCTGGTATAGGAGCCGGTTTCGAGATTTGGGTGGCCGCGGCGTAAGCGTTGGGACCTTCGCCCTCGGTGTGCTCTATTCCAACCCTTCGCGTATTACGAAATAGTTAGTAAACAGTTCACTCTCTACATCAGTATATTATGGTTTACCTGTATTCGTGTCGAGCCAAATATCGAACGTATTTCTCCGGAGGTTCATCGCTATCCGAGTTCTGCAAGCTGACGCTTCTCACAGTCGTATGACTTACCTGAGTTGCGGGCATCGTGAACTCTACGTAGCAATACTCTGCCAACTGGTCAGGCATTTGATCATAGCTTGTCAACGATAGCCGACAGACCATGTTGTGAGTAGTATATGCTCCTAAAAAAAGATTATTTCTTATGAAAATTTCAAAACAAGTTATTATGTTTGTTTGTATATAGTCAAGTCTCGGTTTTAAACTCCTCGATTAGTCCAGTTTCAAACAGTCCGATCTATTGGCGGAAACAATTCTCTATTTGGTTACATTTTAATTTCAATATTTCTCTCATTATTAAGAATTTAATATTTATTTCATTTTTCTTCTAAAATTTGTGGAACTACAGATGTATCACAAAGTTCGGTAAATGTTAACTGTTAAAAAAAATATAAATCTGTTATTAGCAAATAATTAATCATGACTCATCCACTAATTGAAAAATGCATCTGATTCATGTAAATAGTCCACGTTTAATCTAATCTCCTGATTAATTATAAGAAATAAATATTTGGTATCACAACCAGAGTTAACTTGAGCAGTAATTTATTCTTTGAATACTTGATGTATTTGTAGAATGTCCTTGTCGATCAACCTACATTTTACGTAATTTATCTAAATCACCCTATAACGTCGACAGGGCCAAGTATGCATTATCTATTCAAGCCTTGTTATCGCAATTTATAAAATTGCTTACATCAACCTCATTACCACAGAAAATACATCGTTATTCTTCATATTCATTATTTAAGTTCTACTGTTGTTGTTTACTAAATTTATATTGAAATTTCAGAAAAATATCATTACCACAAAAAATACATAGTTATTTCTAATATTATAGCAGTTTTACTGTTGGAACAAACAGTAAAATAGATATTTTTTATTAAGTAAGAGGTTTTTTAAAATTGCTAGTATTGATAAATGTAACGGAAATTAATAATAACTGACCTTGTCCTTCTTTCGGCAACCTCGGACATCTCCAAACTATAGCTCTGTGCTGATGCTCATACTTCGCCTGTCCTGAGGTAACCTCGATCAGGCTCTCCTGCAATGTGTCCACAGTTCCCAAAATCCTCTCGATACCTTTAATCTTTCCAGTTCTGAAAATACAAAAATATCATATCTAACTAGACTTAAACTAGAGACTCAAATTGTATTGTATAATGAATTCTATATGAAATTTTTCAAATAGGTATTTGTGAGCAAAAGTATTTATGAACAAATATAGATGGACATTACTTGTCAAGAAATATTATTCGTAAAAACTTAAGAGACAATATGATATTCAATCATTTCATAGACTTAAAGATTTAAATTCTACAAAAGTATTAAAGAATTATTTACAATTTTAAATACGTATAGGATGTGCTTCATGCTGTTAAGTATAATAATTATAATTTGAACAGAAATAATAAGTTGAAACAATTAATATGCAAATCTCACCTTCTGTGTGCCGATTTCACTGAGCCGTATCTGAAGTGCTTCTCAACTCTGAACATGTAAATCCAGCATTCCGGAATCGGAAACCGTATCATGACGTCCTCGCAAGGCACCTGCCCCAATTTTCTGGACGCGAAGCCCGGAACAAGAACGTCCGCCCTCAGTTCGACCTTGTTGCCTGCCATATAGATTTGTGCTTTCAACTGGAGAGGCAACTCGCGGTTCTTCGGCGGGCGAACGCGAAACCGTAGGATTTCAATGTAGCAGGCGTCCGGTGGCTTGAACCTGCATGTGAAAATAATAATGAATTTAGCCATCCATCGTTCTGTTCTTCATCACAACGTACTTTATAATGTGTGTGTCGTTGTATTCATCTTGCTGCACGCAGTTGTGAAATTCGACCTCCTCCAATCGGATCCACTCCTCCGTCACCACAGGGATAATGTCATGTCTGCCGACAACCTCCTTACCCTGCCTCCTCATATCGTTGACGCCCAACTCGATGTCCGGCATTCCTGTTAGGAATCCCAGGAAGAATAAGCGCACCCTAGCAATCTGTTTGTCGATGTGTCCTTCAGCGTCTTGCTCCACGTAGAGCTCATCCACGGCGGTCACTTGGACTTCCTCCATCTTGTAGTGCAGTGCCCGGTCACGATGAGCTTGTAGTTTAAACAGAGCCTCCTCGATGGAGACGCTGAACTGCTTTAGGTCTTCAAAATTCAAAGAACCTAGTTTCATCAGCTGCGAGACCTGTGGAGCGTGCTCCACCGGTAACCCCAGCTTCTTCAGATCGCTACCAAACTCCTTGCAACCCTGGTAATCCCCTTGAATGGCGTACGCAGCGAACTGGCTCAATCGATTCGTAATGCGTTCTGCTTTCTTCACCTGACCTGGCCGCACGCCCGGTCTCTCCTTGTAGAAGATATACTGCAGTTTCAGCGTGAATATCTTCCCGAAATTATCGTACTGTTGCGCCCCGATCTCCGACACAGAATAGCAAGGCTGCAAAGGTAACTCCTGGAAAGGATCTTTGTCGGCTTGCTGGTTAAACAGCTGCAGGAGCACACAATCCTGCTGGGTTACCAAACGAACGAAAATCTTCTTCCAGAATCTCTGCCCTGTTATCTTCTTTTTGTTCGGCTGACGCAACTGCATCTCCCAACCTTCCTCTTTGAAGTCCAACCGCGGGAACGGCTCCAAAGGCTGCGAAACATCATCGTCAAACAGCGGCGTTGCAGGCGACTCTTGCGAATCTGTTCTGGTTACACCTGCATCCAATCGATAATGTCAATATTTGATTAGCAGACAAACATTATTTACTTACCACATGGTATTCCAATGTCGGAAACAGACGTCGTGACGCCGATGAATTCACTTTGATCGAAAGGATTGATGCGCGACGCATCGCTGAACGCGGTGGTCGTTGGTACTGGTGGAGGAGCCAAAACTGGAAGAGCTCCACCGAAACCGACGTCATTCATCTTTGGTTTTATAACAACAGTGAAATCCTTCTCCTCGTCGGAATCCAAGGACAAATCTTTGTCGAACTTTGGTTTTTCGGTAGCCTGTTTACCCAAGAAGACATCAAAGGTTTCTTCCGCTCCGAATCCAGTTTCCCCGTCGAAGGCGTTTGTTGCATTGCTGCCCCAAGTGCTTGCACCACCACCGAATGGATCATCTACCTTATCATCTTTTGCTGATTCAAACTTCGCCGTGAAAGCGTCAAAGACATCATCCTGCGCTGGTTTTTCAAAAACGTTGTTATGTGTTGGAGGTGCAGGATTCGAAAACATATCTTGAACTATAGGCTGTGTATAGACGCTTGTCGTAGTAGTTTGCAAAACGGGCTCAGCTTGAATAACTGGTACACCGAAAACGTCATCACTAGCTTGACTAAATATATTATTTGTATTAGGTTTGCTAAACACATCTTCATCAGGTTTGCTGAATATATCTTCGTCGGGTTGACTGAATATATTTTCGTTTGGTTTGGTGTACGTATCAGCATTGGAATATCCGAACATGTCTTCATTAGTTTGTTGAGCCGGTTGGGTAAATATATCCTCGCTAGTTTCGAATGCAGGCTGACTGAATATATTTGTAACAGGTTGAACTTGAGGTTCGCTGAAAGCATTGTCGTTTGGCTGAGTATGCGCGTTGGGAAATATATCATCGGAATCGTCCAAGAAGATGTTACCGCTAGACTTGGGTGTGTCCATCAGCGCTTCATTCTGTTGCTGCTGCTCAGCAACTAAATCGTCGTCCAAGGTAGAGAAGATGTTAGGTTGCTGCTGCTGATTAAAATTGTCGCTTTGGAAGTTTTCCGCGATGGGACTGCTCTCGTCAACTGCCGCGAATGGATTGAAAGTATTACTCGATATTGATTCTTTGCTCTGGCTGTCGCTTGTATCCATTTGGATGTCCGTCTGCGGGGAAAGGAAGTTTTCTTGTGCCGTTTTGGGAGTTTCAATCGTCTCCGGCTCTTGAATCTCTATGTTGTCGGAGAGCAAATCGATTTGTTGCGTATTTTCTTTGTTGTACAGATTCATGATGTCGGCTGTGGATTTCTGGATCTGCGGAGCCTCCATGCCGAACATGTCGAGCATCTCATCGCGAGCCGGTTGAGGTTGTGGCTTCGGCGATGGCGCTCTCACTGGAGGTGGTGGAGGTTTTTGAGGCGGCTGAGGCCTCGGAGGTCGTGCAGGAGGACTTGGTTTCTTTGGTACGACGACTTCTTCCTCCGCGTGGTTCTTATTTATATCGCATACGCTCTCCTGGGAAAGAGATCCGAGCAGATCACCTTCCTGCACTTTGTTATCGCCAACATCTAAAAAGTCTCCGAATGGTTCTGGAGTCGGAGCAGGCGAATGCAGATCTCTCATAGAAATAGGACTCGGGCTTCGAGTTGGAGGAATTCTGTCTAGTAAATGGCTGCTCGTAGCATCCATTTCTCCCATAACGGACATGAGAAGATCCTGCGTTTCCTTGGAAGGCGGTGGCCTCGGCGGCGGAGGCCTCTTTGGCGCGCCATTATTAACAGGAGGATCTTGACTAACGGTATTCGTAAACTTCAAGTCCAAATCCGTTGGTTTCTGAGGTGGTGGAACGTTGCTCGTGATGAAATCCTGTGTATTGAATATGTTGACATTAGCTTGTATTTGCGACGTAGTGTCTACAAAAGTGTTGGTTGCTCCAAACGTTTCTTGAAGTGTTGATAGTACACTTGCTTCCGGCTGTTCGTATTCCGTTGGGTCAAAAGCAAATGGATTGCTTCCTTCTCCCAAAAATGGATTCTCGCTCTCTTGTACCTCCTCCGCACCCGTCAAAAATGGATTAGAGTTTGCGGAATTGGGAGAAGTGTACTCCTCCTCGGTGAAGAGGAACGGGTTAGCTCCTTTTACATCCATGTTTTTTTAATATAATTTCACTGCGTTCGTGATACTCGTGTCAAACGGATCGAAATCTTCCTCCTGCTCTACAAAACCATTATTGATCAACTCTGATTCCAAAAGTTTTAACTCTGTTTTTCCCGGCAACAAGTTACCAGCAATCGACGTATCGAACGGGTCAACTTCGGCCCCCGATTCTTCTTCGAAACTTTCGGTGACCGGAGTTAAAACCTTAGCAGCGATCTCGCTCCTAATTTCTAACAAATCTTCAGATTTAGTTACTTTATTAGTAGCGCCAAAGGCCTTCTCCTCGAACAACTCGTTCTCGATTAATCTGAGTTCGGTGGTGGAAGGCGCGGGATTTCCAACGAATGAAGTGTCGAATGGATCCACGTCAGTGGGGATCGATTTATCCCGCGCGTAATACGGCGTTAACGGCTGGCTAACCTTAGATTCCTCCTCCAAAACACTGAACAAATCGACTTTGTTTCCGGCAAGTGGTAAATCGAAAGAAACCTTCCTTTGATATATCACCTCTTCTACGCTGATTTCCCTTTCCTCCGACGCTCTAGGATCGAAGTCCTCGTCGTCGCTCAACTGAACCTTGTTTATTTCACCCAACAATTCCCTTTCCAAGAACTTCAATTCTGTTTGTCCCGGTAGTGTAGCTGTGTCCACCACAGACGTATCGAACGGATCTGCGTATTCTATATAATCATCATCGATATCATTCTCTTTTGGTTGCAGAGGTTTATCGCCCAAGTTGGATAAATCTGTTGTGCTCCCACCCAGCAAATCCCTATGAGCTGGCTTAATGATATTCAAATCGTCTTCTGCAAATAAAATAAAAAATTAACAAACAATTTCCTTAATTTGGTTTAACCAATTTACCAGATACAAGAGATGATATAGACTCTCTTTGTCCACTAGGATTGATCAACTGTATTTGCACCTTGCTTCTGATCAATTCGGAATACGTCTCCTCTGCTCTCGGATTAAAATCAAAGTCGTCAGTGGAGTTTAAGATTTCCCGTTCGATGAGTTTCAATTCCGCCTGTCCGGGCAAAATGTTTTCAGCGAACGTCGTATCAAATGGATCTACTTCCACATCTACGTTTGAAGTCTCGCTTCTAAAATTAATTTAAAAAAATAAAAATAAATGGTATTTAATTTAAATCCTATTCAATTACTTCTCTTCTCCGAATGCATTCCAAGTTGATTGACTGTTTGAGCCGCTGCTCGGTTGAATGGGATTAGCGAGAGTACTTGGAGCTTTAGAGACGCTTTCGGCTGCTAGTAAAGCGAATTCTTTGTCATCCTCGTCTTCTTCTTCTACTGCGTGACTATGACCGATCACATCGAATTCTTGCAAAATATCGATGGTCTGATTCTCTGAACTTTGCGAAGTGTAACTGGTGGCCTCGATCGGAGCCAAGCTTTTGCTCAGATCAATAGGCTCGTTGCTTAGTTCAGATGGAGCGTGATCGTCCAATAGACTGGGTTGCGCTGCAATAGAATTTCAATTTATTGCTATTATTTCAAAGGTAGATCAAACGGAAAACCTACCTGTTTCTAATACAGTCTCTTGAAGTGGTCTGCTCGGAACATCGAAACTCTCTAAAAGTAAATCGCGTTCTTTAAGGATCTGCCTTCTGTTTGAAGCCGGTCTGGCGATCGAGCTGCAAGTTGGAGCCTGGACACGCCCTGTCAAGATCTCGACGGCCGATCCAATTGGAACCAATTTCTTTCCGGTTTTATCGGCTGCCGGTCCTAGGATTGCCTTCTCCGCGTAAGAAGTATCGAATGGGTCATCCCCGTCCAATTGTCCAGTTGGAGATTCTAGTTTAATTTGGTTTTTAGTTATAAATTGCAAGTTCAATGGATCGATTGGTTGTTACCTGGAATGTAGGCTAACTTAACCTCTGCTGCGGCTAAGGCATCTATGTAGGTGGTATCGAAGATGTCATCCTCGTCTTCGTCCTCACTCTCGGAATCAGAAACTTCGACGATTGCAGCTTCGGTCACGGAGAGTTCCTTCTTCTGCTCGACTACGATCTCGGCTTTCTGGGCTACCTCGCGTTTCTCCTGCTCCTTCTTGAGTTCACTAGGAGGCACCACTCGCTGGAAGAACGATGTGCTCTTGATCCGATCTAAGTCTCCTTGGGTCTTCTTCAAGATATCATCGACGCCCGATGTGAGAGCTTTGAATTTCTTCCACTCCTCGTTTTCGGCCGCTGTGCCTGCTGTATTCTCGGCCGCTTCTTGGTGTTCCCTCCTGTACGCCTCTAACTCCTCCGGCTTAAATAGTTCGTCCTCTTTGTGTTTCGATTTCTTCCCTTTTTTCTTCTTTTTCAAACCCTTGGTTATCTTGTGCATATTCTACTTTACTACTACGTTTCATCAAACTGTCTGAAACATCCGAACACCATTAACATTTCATTTACATATCTTTCAATGATGCATAAAACATTGCATTACACATTTACGAGAGTGTAAATTATTTCCTAATCTTCATTTACTTAATGATGTCTGATATTGTACACAAGTTTAATCAATTATTTTTATCTGTCAAAACAAGATTGTTTTGTTATAATTGAGATAAAAACATATTTCAATCGAAAATATTGACATACCGTTTAATAATTTAACTTCTTGCATAAATACTTGGAAAACACAACAAGTAACATTTTCAACAATATAAACTTTCTTCACTTAAAGTTGCATAAACCACTTTTTGGAAATTAAATGTTATACAAGTTTAATCAATTATTTGAACCTGTCAAACCAAATTTTGTTAAACAAATGCAAAACGGAAACAAAGTAACTACTACTTGACAAATTCAATAGTATGTTGTAAACAGAGAATCGCAAGAAGTACGAACAAAATAATGAGTAATACAAACTTCAAGTATATCTTTCATAACACTTACTTTATGCATGGCGAGATTTAAGAGCAATTACTAGATTTTGGAAAGCATCCAAATAAAGATATGATTCTTCATATTGGATGAACCAGTTAACCCTAAAGGACAAACGATTGACGGGATTATTATAAAAGGGCGTTGCATTCCATCACGCAAAGACCGACTTCATAATCTTTATTATAACTATATCACATCACACCCATAATCATTTATAATATACGTTTTAATTAAATTAAGATTGCTCAAATTAGACAAAATTAACTAGTAAACTAGGGAAGAAAACTTTAAAGTCATCTATTTCCAAATAAAGTTAAATTCAACAGATTTTTTAACAAGGTTTTGCTTCATTTTATGTGGGGTATATAATTTCGCAGAAAATTTAAAAAAATATTTATTTTAGATTTTAAAAAAGAAAAATTTATTTTATGGTAAATTTAGTATTATTGACGTTATAATACTAAATAGTGCTTAAAACTTTTCTGAATTTGCTAGAAAATTTCTTATATAATTTAACTTATATTTTTTAACTGTTTCTACAGTTATTATTTATTGGGTCATACCTTTTATTATTAGAATCATAAGATTTAGTTCAAATTAGAACACAAAAATGAAACTGCCTACTATTTCTTGTAAACTAGTTCTTAATCTTTATTAATTCATTTCGCTCAAAGAAGTATCGACCGAAGGCTTTCTGCCAAGTAAGTAAATTATACAGATTTTGCAAATAATGCGATGAATTTAAGTAATATAATTACAAGTTGTTTCTATTTTTTATAATATAATGAAAGTTACGTAACAAAAAGTGATTTAGAATTGAAATTGCATAAACAATAATTATTTAAACAATTTTTGGATATATAAAATAGTGTGATAAGTCAATGAAACGCTAATACCAAGGTAGATTGCGTGAATTTGAAATTTAAAACATTTCGAAAAATTTAGTTTAAAATTGTGTTTCTTAATCTTTTGTGTAAGAAAATGTGTGTTAGAAATTAGTATCTTACAGAGTCAGATGATCAGGATTGGCGATGGAAATTGGGTAACGCCGGGTCCGATATTGATTTGAGCGTGGCGAGTGCGGCTTTGGGGTCACAAGGTTTTCGCGAAATTCTGAAGTGTCCTACCTTTGCGGATTCGAGGGAACAGCATTTGGCCGATTCCTGGTACCACAATTGTTTTATGTATTCTGTTTATGTAACTTCTCCCAAAACACTGTGTGTTTTGCAAATCGAACTGGGGAGGAAAAAAAAAAACCAGAAATCGATGAGGAGCGTTCGGAGCGCCGTGCGATGGGTTTAGGACCCGCACAGAACTGAACCGAAGAAAATGGTGGAGCGAGCGAATGTGGCGTCGCGACGCACGGCGCCGCGTATTGATCGCTCCGGTCCGTACGTCACCCCGCCTACGAGCGAGCGGTGTAGGCGAAAAAGGAACCAGAAGATTATACAAAAAAAAAATGAAAAGAGAAAGGCGAAAAACTGTGAGAAGAGGAAATGGTTAATGAAAATGAATCCCTTTGATCTTGAGTTTCCTTTGTTTTCGGAAACGGATAATAGTGGTTGAAATCTCTAGAGTTAATGAGCTACTTACGTAACGGGTCGCATCCCAACCGCAAGAGATTCAATATTAACTCGGTTATTTCTCGATCGGTGATTGCATCTTCGATGCGTTATTTGACCATCGTCGGGGTGTATTTATTATTTATTTTATTATTATTGTATGTAATGATAATTCCTAGATTGAAACTGGGGAGTTGCGTGCGCGGTATTCGCGAATCCCAGGCGAAACTGGAAGCAAAGCCTGGGACACTATTTATTGATTGTGCGCAGATAAACTCACCCTTCGAACACCCCCCGCTTTCCAGAACCTACGCGCTCACAAAATATGGTGAAACGTACACCCTCTTCGCCACCGTTCGAAATCGGGACGATGAATAAATTCCAATTTCCACATAATCGTCCATTCCGATATTAAATTTCCCATCCCCCCATTGTCATCTATTGAATACCTCAAGGAATATTTGCATCATACGTATTTGCATCAAACTTATTTACTTTAAATACATTTTTTCTTTACATTTAATTAATTATAAAAAAAACTTAAATTCTTCACGACTTCAACTCATAAGATTACTAAAAGGGATTTTCATAAAAATATACAATAAAAATGTAACGTAATAAAATCTATGAAATAAAAATAAAAAAGGTTGGGTCAGATTTATGATCGACATACAGATTCATAAGAATATATATTTGAACATATTGTATACAAATTCGGTTGAAAATAGGGAATTTCTTAAAACGATAAATTCAGATTTATAATTCCAATCATCAAAACAACAAGTTTTTTTGTTCTGGTACTTATTAATTTGTAATAAATGATTAATTACATTTTAGTAAACATTTTTTTAACATTTACTGAAAACATATTTTCAATTAGAACATCAAATGCATAAATAATGTTATATTACATTAATTTGTAATAATAAAATGATTCGTAAATTAACATAAATTGAAGGCAGAAAAACTCCAATTAAAATGACCAATAAATTTGGAATTATTGTAAGAATTGCAATTAAAAATTTGCTTAAGTTAACAATTTCTGAAAAAAAAAACAAAAGTTGTTTCTCAATTTCTTACAGTCTAATGATATTTTATGTCAAATTTCAAGAAGATCGGTAAGAATGGATAGGAGAATATGCAATATTAGTGGTTGAAATTCCACCACAAACACTGCAAATATTTTTTTTTCCATTGTCTACGGATTTCGACGTCAACTCAAGCGTCTGCAAATTTTCCAGGAATGCCAAAATGCATATGGAGTGAATGCATGATCCCTTATGACCATTTACAAGTGGGATTTTTTCTGTTGAGTATGAATCTCGTGATGGTCGCCAGAAATCTTTCACCGACGACACAAATGTAGCCTTGGTGAAGTCAAAAATTGACGAAGATCCAAGAATGACACAGGAAATGGTAGGTGATGAACTGGACTTGAATGCCATGACTGTGCCGAGAAGTCATTAAGTCATCACTTGGGCTACAGGAAGAATTAAGCACGATGAGTTCCACGAATATTAAATGACAACCGAAAAAAGACACATGTTTGTTTTGCCCAATATTTCTTAGAAAAAAATTGAAAACGGAGAGTCTAGCACCTTTAGGAAAATAGTAACAGGTGATGAATCTTAGTTCTATAAGTACTATCCAGAAACCAAACAGCAGTCCATGGTATGGAGCGCAGAAGTTCGAATTATCCTTCTAACAAATGTACAATTAATATTTGATTCTATTAATTCCATTTATTTAATTTGAAATTAATAAAAACAGGGTTCATTTAAAAGATGTTATCTTTCATATTTAGGCCAACAAATCTCCAAGATGTGTAGATTGTTATGTTAAAAAGAAAATTATTAAATAACTAAAAGTATAAAAGTTATTTCATTTATAAATGGTAAAGTGACTTTTGACCCAATCTGTATTTATTTTATATTTGATTCAATATTGTCAATATTTTATGATTAATAAAACTCAAATAAAGTTCTGATTGTTAATTTTAACATCACGGTTAAATATTAGTATTCGAAATGGTAGTTTAAATTATCTTGATTAAATATAAATAAATTAATTCAGTTTCTATGATAAAATCTTGAAATAGATGAAACAAAGTTCTGCGAGAATACAAATGAATATACGAAAAGAATAGAAGATTTTTTTTAGGTATTGATTACATTGGTCAACAGATGAAAAACAAACACATAACAATAAACATGAGAAATATATTACCAAGTATAGAAGATAAAAGAAAAACAACATTTAAGCATCATCAATAAAGTTGTATTCATTATATACAACGTTACCTTTGAAAACGAAGTTCGCAATTTGAAGCCCTATTTAACATAAAAGATAACCCGACAAGATAGGTTTAGAAATTGAAGAAAATAACGTCAAAGAAATAAAGTCATCAAAATGGTTCAATGAATATATTCCAAAATATCTATGAAGAGAATGTTAGAGATTTATTAATTGCAGAAGACGATGGGCTTTCAGTGGAAGATGTTATCAACCAAATAATTAAAAATGTGCTTAAAATGCATTAAAAACGATTTATTTTTTTAAGTGAAAATGAAAATGATTTAGGAATTAGTGTTATTTCATAAAAGATCAGTGTTAAATGTAATAACTTCATATTGTAATATTCATATTCGTAATGGCTAAATGAAAGAGATAAAAGCACAAGCAATCAACTTTGTTCACTCTTAGTATATTTTTCTTTTATTCCAAAAAAATGTTTTTCATTTATGAAAAAACTTCATTCTGCCTATAGCATTTTTACCTCTGAAAACGAAGTGTGCTGCTCATTTTATTTGTTAATCGAGGCAAGGAAAAAAAGAACTGAATATTGTAACAATATATTTTTTTATTAATAATAATAATTGGCAACTAGACCGATGTCATTTCAGCTAGTCGCATTTGTCATTTTCTTTTTAAATTAAATAATTTCACAAACTAACAACTACTAAATCATCTCTATAAATCTTAGTCAATAAATATACAGCAACAGTCGTTTTTTTTGTTGTATGTGTTTCTGCATTGTTTTCTTGTCTTTGTTGATTTGCACAGCCAAGATCGTCTTCGTCAGTTTCGTGAACCCTGATTCAACGTTGATCATCTTACACTTAAATCAAATAAATATGCACTACACGCTGTCCTGCTGATTAACTTATACGGTAAAATCACTTTATGTACAAATATAGAATACACTGTAAGAGGAATACAGATATAAACAATATATATGAAGAATTAATATAAAAAAAAAGGAATCGTTGTGTTGTCTTTTTTATGATTTGGTTTTGGCTTTTCCTGTATTGATTTTTTTCTTATATACTATTTATATATCTTTCTTTTTGTTGTTTGTTTTTGGTTTATCTGACTGCAACGAGTTTCCATCTGAGCAGGACGTAGGCGACGATCCTGAGGAAGAACAGGATGATCAATAGAGAGATGATGTCGTTGGTGAACTGATCGCCTTTGATGTCGATGTCCTTGAGGAATTTCGTTGGATACTTGTAGTGGCAGTATTTCTCTCCGGGACAATCCAACGTCGGCCTCTCCATACCGTAAATTGCGCCCACGATTCCTTCAAGACCGTAACGCAGGTACGAAATGTAGCTGCCCCAGTACAGATAAGGTGGAAGGTCCTTCAGAGATACACCGAAACCGGCGAACATCATCATCGGTACCGAAAGAGTAGGTCCCAAGAACGTTCCGTTCTAAAAAAATAAATACATATAATTAGATACATAATTTACGAATTAATTAATAATCAATGATTCATCAAAGTTTTAAGGTCATTGCTGTTGTATATACAAAGAATCTTGCTTGATTTCAGGTATTGTATGTTTACTTTTGCATCAGCGAAAAACCGGTTTATTAGTCTGTTTACAATTTCTTGCATCCACTTGTAATGAATTTATTCAAGGTGGAAAAAGACGTCATTCTTTTGACTGACGTAAAATCCGGGTATCAATGAACCCTTTTTCGTACATTGTTACAATCACAAAGAAAATAAATGACATAACGATTATTGAGCGATTATTGAAATACAAGTACAGTAAGTAAGACACACAAATACTTATAACAATGAACTTAATTAGAACTAGATGAGTTCAATTTATCCATAATGTAGTTAATAATTGAAACATGAAGATTTAAACTAAACGTTTAGAATTTCTCGAATACAACGCTACTGTATCGCCATTTAACTTTAATTTTCCAATCAATTTTTCAATATTCACAACTTTTATTATTGTTTACTTTCTGTTAAAAAAACATTGTCTACCACAAATTGTTCAAATATTTCATGTTATTTACAACTATATTCTTTGAAAAAGATTTTCTAGAACTATTTTATAACTATATATGAACTACTCGATAAATCGACTATATTTATTGTTAAAATAGTCTTTCAATTTCAATTTGAACTGTATTAATACTTTAAAATCATTTGCATTAATTTGTTAAGCAAATTTTTATAAATAAATAGTTTTATTAAGAAACATATAAATCTAGGGCAGAATGACTGTGGTTAGACATTTCTTCCAAATTGCATTAATCCTAATGAGAAAAAATGAACTAAATTAAAAGATTTGTAAAATTTAGTCAATAAATACTCTTAATTGTTAATTGACTGTTTGAATTGTGTCACGAAATGAGAACAAAGTCAAACTTTTTTAATATAAAACCTTTTCTAACAAAAAATATAAATCTATGACTTTAATTAATGAAAGCTCTTAATTGTTAACTGATGTTATAAATTTGTTAATTTATTGAAAATACTGATTGTGCCTTCGCATTAACTCAAAAAAATAATTGTTTTTATACACATCTATGAATTTAGATCTTAATTGTTGTCTAATATTATAAATTTGTTTCGTTTACTGGTAATACTTATTGTATCTTTGAATTGAAATAAGACACAGTAATTAATTTTAATGTTTGCAAATAAAATCGTGTCTAATGAAAAAATATAAGTCTGGGACACTTTAGTCTATACAACTTTTAATTGCTACTAATTCCTATAAATTTGCTTAATTTAATGAAAATGTTTATACCGTCATTTAATTGAACCAATAAATATTATTTATAGTATAATTGCAATTATATATTTATAATTTGAGGTTAATTATATAAATTACCAATAATTATAATTTAAGTCTAGTAAGTTTAATTACATATGACACATAGGTCTTTGACTTTAGTCAGGAAATTGCGTTTATCATTATATAAAATACATTAGAGAAAAACATGTGATAATTAAACTCTATGATAATGAATCAATTACAAACACTTAGCTTTTTATGTTTCCTGACAAAATTAAATATTTCATTAATACAAAATTAAATATTTAGGGCAAATAATCTTCGGTAAATTGGACTTTGGCCCAAATTAGTGTACTTTTCAGTAGAATTAAAGCAATTGCAGTGAGACGTAATTATTTTATTGTAGAATGTATTTTGGGTTAAACTGACTCGACTATAGCAAATATGTTCTTGAAATATCATGAATATATGGAATTCAAGATTTTGGATTCAAAATGTTGATTTACATCTATATAAATCGTTGGTATTTATAATATAATTGCATTCAATTTGATTTGTATGAAATTAATTGCTTATTAAAGACTTAATGTCATAATAGATTATATTTTTTGAAATATTTGGTAGATTGTGTTTGGAATGTTTTCAATAAATTATGTTTGTTACTATTCGTAATACTTACAACAACATTGAAGACGGCTCCAATCATGAGACCGAAACTTTGTGCAACGAAGACGACCAAAATGCTGATAGCAGAGAACATTCCGAATCGCTCCATGTCCGGCGGTTGAGCAGTCATTGTGTAAATGATAACAGTAAACACGATGCAGCAGAAAATCTGCAAATTGCAAAACACAAAAGACATATAAATATCGTACTTCATTTTGATATTCATTGTATCTTACCGATATTGGTATATCGACTAAGGTCACGGACGTATAATACATTTTCAACGAATACCATCTGTTGAAGTGTTCTTTAGTTAAAATGGACATTTCATTGGGGACTGTAAATATAAAATTAATAATAAGATTTATATTGCTTTCTTCATTGTTAATAACTTACAAGTTAAAATGGTTAACATCATAGTGGACATCATGTGGTGCATCAAAATAGAGAAGAGCAAGTTGTAGTTGTCAATGACTTTGGAACCGTCGACTCCTGCTTGCCAGTAAAGTGTTCCAAGCATGAGACCGGTGATGGCATTAACTCCAATCCTCATATAGGTCAAAGTCTGAAAATAGAATGAAATTCAATTCATGTTTCAAAAAAAAAAAATAAGAAAAGGATTTTCTTACCGAATCGCGTCTCGATTTCAGGAAATCGCGCTTGAGTAAAATCTTCAATTGATGAGAGGCGGAAGTCGCGTGCAGCGACTCGCTTTGATCAGTCTTTCTGGCAGCCTTTCTGTACTTATCTAGAAGAATAACAACAAAGTGAAACATAAATCAAAAGGGTGAGTTTATTTGCATTTACCTTTAAGGGCCTTTTGTGTGGGCAAAACATCGAAGTTCTTCAACCAGGAAATGGTCTTTCCGTTGTCGGTAGCTTTGACCATCCGATCGATTTTGTCCTCTCCGTATTCGCCACACGCCAATTCGATTGCTGAAAAGTATGTCAAATTATACCCAATTTCATAATAATCATCGTTAGTAAATTTACCATAATCAGCTGGGTTATGGTACATGGGGCAAGGGCAGTCCACATCTTCCAAGAAGGGAACCAAATTATCCGTACTACCTTGGTACAAACACTTTCCCGCAGCCAAAACATACACCTGATCAAAGAGTTGGAAAAGAGAGGCAGATGGTTGATGGATAGTGCACACAATAGTTCTTCCTTGATGCGCCAAGAACTGCAGCAGTTTCACGCATTGACTGCAAGAGGAACTGTCCAAACCGCTGAAAACCAAATTCACATTAATATTATCTTTTAAAACTATCAACAAATAGACTTACGTCGTTGGTTCATCCAAAAACATCACTTGCGGATTATTAACCAATTCCAAAGCAATAGATAAACGCTTCTTCTGTCCACCAGATAAACGGGCGGCTCTCGTGTTCACAGCCTTATCCAATCCAAGGGTTTTCAAAATTTCTCCAATCTGAAAATATCCAATAACTGTTGAAGCAAAAAGTAAACATCGCGATTTTTATTTCGATTCAAAATTCCATCAATCCGTTGCTATCGTAACGTTGATTTATTACCCATAAATAACAAAGATATTATTGAACTAAAAAGTCATAAGTCACAAGCGTAAATATTGAAGTTTGCCTCTTCTGTTGGAACACCAATAGATTACGCGCAATCTAGGAAGTTATTCCACATTGATAAACATTGAGCGCATTCAGGACACTTAATTTACATTCGCTCCAATTTGTTATTGATGCTTTATTTTTATATTAATTTTTATGATTCATCAATCGATCACCTACTGCTTGGATGTTCACCGAAAATAACATTTAGTTTCATTTTCTACAGCAGATAATGAATTTGTTTAAGAAACCGTGTGTAAATACATAATTGAATATATATGTATTTAGAAACTTGGAAAACAGAGAGAAATGCAAACTGTCATAAAAGAAGAGTTACTATGTTATTCAACCGCCATTGATTTCTATTGATATTACGTCAACTTGCATATGACATCAATATGTTGGAAATCTTATTAAAATAAACCGTAGTATGCTTTGCAATATTTTAACTGTCAATAATTATTACATTGGATATTTAATTTTATTCCATTTCCATAAATTTAAAACTTTCTTTGTATTATTGCATTTAATAGTTATATAAGTCTATATTTGATTATGGTATAAATATATAAGGTATGATTTCATGCATGTTTTGTTTTCCTAAGACGTAATTTTGACGTTTGGAGGTATTACGGTATGACAATTGGTAATATAATATGAATAAAATGTATTGTATACAAATTATAAATTTATGTTGTGAACGGAATTTTACTTGTTATAAATGAGTAATTACTAACAAATATGTTCTATAATTGTAATATACCTACACACTCTATTACTGTTTTGACATATAATGTGACAAGTCGTGCGTATACATCGAATCAAATAATTGATCACTAATTTGGTAACACACAGTACACGTGTTTTATAATCTAATTAATTTCTTTCTATAAAAATTTCATATTATTAAATTTCAAATATTTTTGCGATTAATGTTGTAAGTTTTATTTAAAAGCAAATAACAAATTACGTCGTCAATTATTTAAAAATTGTATGATAATGAACTAGATAATTTTATGTAAAATATATTTTTCTTAATTTTGATAAATTATTCAAAATTAAAAAATTGCCTCGTGCTATTCTAAAAGTATAAAAATACGTCTAGTAATCTAATAAAGAAAATATGTATTATCAACTCTTTTTGCTGATTCATTTGAAAATATAATCAAATTGTTTTATTGAACTTATACTACGCCCAAAATCAAAGTTTAGGTTTCAGGAAAAACCCGAAATTTGTAACTCATTATTTACAAAAAAAAACTGGTTCTTTGTACGCTCGAGTACTGGTTTCGAAAATAACGGTTAATCAAAGATGTATATTCAAAATTGGCAATTGGTAACAAGGAAAAACTTGTTTTCGTTTCGTTATGAACTTGAATATGTAAACATAATTGAGTGCACACATTTTAAAATTAAGTACTTTCTCATAGGAAATACAGTGCGTCATAAAAGAAGCATTACTAGTTTTTTCTACTTTCATTCATGTCTATTGTGATTATTTAACATTTGTGTAAACTAACGTTTCTAAACCTACGGGTCGCACCCAAAATTGGGGCATGTTAATTTAAAATATTTAGTGATTAATGGTTCCCGAAATAACAGCTGTCACCTTGTGTCAAAGCGAGAACCTGGTGAAAAACTCTTAGGATTTGAATCGTGGTATAACTACAAACAAATATGTTCGGTTGCGAAATGACAGCGAGGAACTGATGAAATAGTTTTAGTAATTGAGTTGCAATATAAACAAATATGTTGGGTCACTCGGTAAAAATGTTGATAAATGCTGGTGTACACTATATTATCAAAATTATTAGTCTCTTGTGCAATTTTACATAATCAACATATGACAAATACAATCACTATTGATAGTATAATCAAAAATAATATTGTTTCGTTTTGCTACATACTTCTATATTTACTAATGATTGAATATATGCATTTTAATTGTCGGAAAAATTACTTATAATTGCACAAATCTCATGAAAAAATCGTTGGTATTTTGTTATACCGCCATATTTTTTTCGGTCGGAGTTATGACAACTATTATTTGACAGCTATATAATACGATCTATCAGATTTCACCACCTTAAAAGTTATTATCAAAAATAATTTCAATCAATTTTTCTATAACTTCTGAAGTAATTCGAAATGGTCGTATTATTAATACATATGTCAATCTTAATTGCTTTTATTTCTGAATTTTAATTATTAACTGCATTCGATTTACGTCAGAAGTATAAACGAGAACCGTAAAAATACACAATTAACAATATTATTTCCTTTTATACTTCAATATTTACTACTAAAGTTCCAAAAATACCTCGGACTTTTTGAAACCGGATTAATTATGGACTTAAAAACCCCATAAAAATAAACTTCATAAAAAGAGACTTGAAAGTATAAAGAAATAACATAAATAACTTTGTTTACTAATTTCTTTAGAAATAATCCGGACTAATCGAAGCCGCACTAAGCGAGATTTTGCTGAATATACATTTAATATTTGCAATACTACTGTTGACAAATATGAATGTTACAAAAAAATGTAATAGCGCCATTTCAACTCGTAATATAAGTATTTTTAAAAATCAATCGTTTTTCTGCAATTTCGATAATCGACATGTTGTAAACAATATTTGTATTTATAATTAAAAAAAATATTGTTTTCGTTTTGCTTTTTTTGTATGCGTTGAATATCATTTGGTTGAAGATTTTTTATGTTCAAGATGTGAATTTCTTTAATATCCCAATGTCACATAAACTACGGATTTAAATGGAAGGTTGATGTCGCGCTCGGTCGTTGAGGTTACCGCTGCAAGGTGGACGAGACTTACAATAGCATCCTTCTCCTTCTGCGTAACATCGGTGCCCAATTTGAGATCAGCAGCTACTTTCATGTTCTCCTTCACGGTAAGAAGAGGCTGCAGCCGATCGTCCTGCGTGATGTAGCAGGACAACTTCCTGAACGCGTTCAAATCCCTCGGCGTACCGTTCGTGTAAACCGTACCCTCGATTCCCGTAATCCTATAACCGCTGAGCACATCTAGAAGCGTACTCTTTCCAGCTCCGGATGGACCCATGATTGCGATCAGCTGACCTTGCGGAAACCTTCCATTGATCTTATGCAAAATCTCTTTCTTCTCTGCACATAAAAAACAAACAAACAAATAATTAAACAATCAAAACCGAAAAGTTCGAGAGATGCGGTCAGTTTCCAAAGTTCAATATTTAATTGCGTTTCCTGAACTGGACGAGAGGAAGAGCGAGATAGCAGTAATTATATATATTTACACACAATTTTTATTTAATATTCCCACGCAAATATTGTATTATTTATAATTGTGATTACTTTGAACTTTGGTTTCCTCCAGATATCGATAATCGCACTATCGGAACGCAGCATTGATAACAGTTTCACTCGCTCTCTCGTCTTTGTTACGAGCAGCGCGGAAATACAACGAAAAATAAAGAAGTTTGTTACGCCGAACCACAACATGAAAAACCCACATTTTGGTGTTGTTGTTGTTGTTTTTGCTACTAGCAATTAATTAAAGAAAAAGAAACTTACATATTTGATTGACTAATATCGTAGATTTTAATTTCGTCATTATGCATATTAATAATTGGTAATTACACGGAAACCTAGCACGAGTTAGACTTTGATTTTCATTGATTGAGTTAAGAGGAATGAAATTGAATTAATTATAATTGTCAGTAAAACTACTGCATCAATTCTCGAAATTAATTATAATTTATAGATATTTTCAATTGAATTTGGATAATCGAAATTGTAATTTCTTTGTTATTTTTGATAACGGCGACATTCGTAATTGTTGTTTATCAGATTTAGTTTATTTAATCATATAATACAGCTTAATATAACCGTATGGCTATAATTAGCAACGAAAGTTAAGCAGCATGTGTCAATGATATTATTTCAATGGGTGATATAATCTAAAGAAACTAAATATTGAGATGTTTACTACTATATTTTGTGTAATTTGTTTCTTAATAACTATAAAGACTTTTCAAAAAATGTAAATATATTATGTTTCTTTCAAAATTAAATAACTTCTAAATACTATTTTCATCATATTGTTATACTTAAATTTCAATACAAATTATTCATCATTATTAATAATTTAAAAATCTCTTCATAATTTTATGTTCGATAAGATTTTAGAAAACTTTCAATTGAATTTCGTAACTCCACTATTTAAACTTATATCAGATATTGGAAATTATAGAGATTGCAGATTATCGCTTTATCTAACAAAAAAGGAGTCATTTTTTTTTTCAACGGATCGCAAATTGCTACAATACGTATCGAATATATCAAATTCCAAGGTTCAAAGTGCCCGAGAGCAAAAAAAAATATATGTAAGGATCCTTACATAATGCACGTGAGTCAAGTGTTGCGAATTTCATAAACAGCAAACTAATCAATACGTTTTTTGCAAGAATTTTAGTTTTAATATATCCAAATATGCGATAACATTTTAGATTATACATTTTGGTTCGAGCTACTAAAGAAAATATTATTATATAATATATTTTGTTTATTAAATTTCACTTAAATAAATGTGAATAGATTATATATATTTGGTAAGAAATAAAGTTTTTATATTTGCAAAAGTGATGTAATTTTAAGGTCACTTCATGGTAAAGTTCTGCTGAGAAACGGTTGCAAGTTTTAACTTGTAATTTGCAATTATTTTTTTTTGCTATTCAATTATTTACGTAAATAGTTCAATTTGTAATTAAAAGTGAATTTGTGCTTTATTTACTTGATTCTACTGATTTCAAGTACATTTTGTATGTATGATAAAATTGTATAGAGAAGCAATGATTATTTTTTATAATAAAAAATGTAGAACGTTGAAAAATAAGTTAGTAAAAATATATGACTTTCATTTACGTTCAGTCAAGTTTTATGTGAATCGGAAAACGTTTAATAAAATTGTTTTAATATGGTAATTAATGAATTCAATGACTTTTAAAATTCAAAATAATTCAAATTTTATTAGGGAATTGTTATGTTGAATTTCTAATTTCTTTCTAAACTGAAAATGTAAGTTTTTAGATGTGTAACTTATTAGAAATTGTTTGAGTGCGGACGATTGTAATATTTTATTTGTTTTAAACTTGTTTTAGATATTGTGCAGCGAAGGTTAGTCGCGTTTCAATGAAGTTTTAGTTGATATTGCTCAACATGTATATATTTTTTATCTGCGTTATTATTTTCTGCTTGAAGTGTTTGTGAAATGCGGCAACATGGAATGCCGTGACCAAGTGTTTTTGAGTGATGGCTTTCACTTGGATGCTGTGCAGAGATGAAATATTTGAGATGGAAACAAGTTTTTTTTCTCTGTGCTGATTTCGAAACGAACCTTTTTTGAATAATCCGGTCGTAGCTGTGAAGACGATGTTCTCGAACTGCATGTCGACGGGTTCCGTCGATGGTAGCATGCTGAATCCAGCATCTTCGGTTTGGTTGACGAGCGGTACGACGGTGTCTTCTTCGGTTGGGTTGAGGTTTGCGTAAGCACTAGCACCGTTCGTGTCCAACGTAACACTGGCTGCCTCTTGGAGCACGGCTTCCATCGTTAAGTCTTCGTCTCTTACTGATGGTCTGTTGCTATTATTTTTTTTTTAAATTTACGTTTTGTAAGCCTTTCTCAAGTCTCGAGGTGGTCGTAACACGCGTGTATCGCGATGTGCTGTTGTACTCGAAGGCCGTACAAATGCGCTCCGGTAAAAACAACGGTCTGATGTATATGGAAGAAAACGGCGACTTTGGGAATGAACTGGATTCACTCTAGCACGTACACTTATATAGATTGTGGACACTCCAACCGTGGACCAAACGATTAAAGTTCAATATGCGACACATCATTAGTCATAGTCTCTATGAGCGCACTGCGATTTTCCGATACATTTTCGCCGGCTGCACGACACACTAATTGCATAATTCGTAGATTCTCTTGTTGCGGTTCTTCGCTGCGGTCGAACTGTTTGCTTCTGTAATTAGAGAAAGTCTCCGCATCTCTTCGCTGCAGAGTTGATCTTCTCGCCACTTACGCAATCCCCTTCCTCGCGTCCAGCACCACAACAATACCCCCATTGATACTCTCTAATGATTCTTCTCTTCTTTGCATTGTAAGCATTTACTCTTAAAACGTGACATGCACTTTCTACACAACAGTTTCTATCCACTCATTAACATTACTTAAAAAATTACTTTACGTTTCTCAGTAAAAGCCAACAAAACACAATTAATGCACCTCTTGCGAATTTATATAATATATGTAGGAAACAGAAATAATTACGTCTATTCTAGAAAATACAATTATTCTAAAATTAACAGCAAATTGTAATTGATAATTTAAAGTAATAAATTACAATTATTGCACCTTTGGAAAATTATAAATCATACAAATTTGTATTATAAACATGTAAGAAAACAGAAATAATTACGTCAGAAATAACAGAAAATTAAATTATTGCAACTCCTGCAAAATTATGGAACACTAAAAACTATATGTATATCTGTATAAAATAATTAAATAAATACTTATGTTTATCTTCCTGTAGACAGTAAAATATAATTATTCAAATTTCAGTTCATAAATATAATCAAAATTTGGCATTTTAACTCCTCTTGTACATTAAAAATTATAAAAATTTCTATAAGAAATATGTAGAAAACACTAACATAAATTCAAGCGGTAAATTATAGAAAATGTATAACCACGTTTTGAGTTGTCCAGAAAGTTCGTGATGATTTTTCACGTAAAGAATCAACATTTTTATATATCGATATACAAATTTTGAATTATACATAGAATTTCGATCTATACACCTTTCATCATCATTCACGCAACTTAAGCATTACATCCTCCCAGAATTTATAATGCTTTTCGTTAAAAACTTTTTATGTTGACTAAAAAATTAAAAGTTATTGCAGTTAATGTAATTTTGAAAAAAGATCCGAATTTGTGGAAATCAGAAAGTGCATTGTATGGAGAAGAAACAACTAACGTTGTCGCGATTTGTGTTAGTTAAATTGTATGAATCTTATATATTATAATAGTTTATGTAACCAAGCTTCAAAAATTGTTTTTAATGTTGTATATATCTCTGCTAATAAGGTCGGTCTATGTCTTAATTTCATCATTATTACTAGCAAAAGTAATACAAAAGTATCAAAGTCTAAAATGCACTTTGTTTTCTTCCATATTCATTTGATCCAAACAAACTTTTTTAAAGACGCTTGAGAAAGATCTTTCAGAATATATAGACAATTCTCATATATTTTAGACAGCGCCAATGGTGCATAACACAAATCGGCACAAACTTTCCATTTTTCTTCAATTAGACAATAAAGCTATTGAAAATTGAAGTACTAATTAGTAAAATTAATTAATTAATTTAATTTGAATCCCTACAGACCAAAAAAAACTTTTAAATATTAGTTAAAATAAAGCCATCAAATAGTCATTCCATCTGCGTATGTTATTGAAATATTTGAATAAATGAGACAATAAAAGTTACAAAACACATTATTTTGTGCAATTTATACTATGAAGTTTAAGCAAAATACAGCTGAACCTCGATTCTCCGACTCTTTAGGTCTCATAAGTAAAAACAGACACGCATTGGTAAGATGTAAGTGAAGACAAATAGTTTTGAATAATTGATATTGAACTGTACATGTCTCAATTAAATATAAATATTTGAATATTAATACTATCAAAAAGTTTTGTTGCAAATCATTTATATACGTCAACATTGTATGAACATGCACACATCCAATTTAAATGCTGTAAAACGTCAAATTGTTGCAAATAATTACAAACAAATTAGTCCAATCAATCTGATTAGTTGTCCGCTATAAAAATAGTTGCTTGATATTATAATTGTTTTTTGCAAATTAAGTAAATATTCGAATCATCTCAGACGTTTGGTTTTTGGCGAACAAACGTCGGTCATTTTTAATTATTTTCATTGCGTTGTAAATATAAATTTACTTCTTAGCTAACCGATTTAGTAATTACATTTCACTTTCGTTTTTATGCAATTATCACAAGAAGAAAGTTCTAAATGTGTTCCGTACAAGACAATATTCCTTATAATTATTGAGTGAATTGCAGAAAGAGAAAGTGAAACAGTTTATATTTTTTTTATTATCTTTCTTGCATTATAATGTGAATAAGAAAAATAATATTTTGAGAAACGATTCAATAAATTAATATATTTTCGTATAATTTAATAATATATTAAAATTTACAAGTTGTTAAAAAACTGCTGTTATTTTTTCTCATAATTTCCATAATGCTTTTCCGACATGTCAGACTGGATTATTAACTTACATTCAACTTTCATTTGTAAGGAAATATGTGTAATTATAGAAACTCGTTCCATGTTCCTTGTTTTGATGGGTTTTACAAGAACTTAGGATAATTACATTCTATTTAATAATGGAAATAATTGGTACTCAAAAAATAGTCTAATAATATGTTCTTCTAAAGTTTTCTTTCGTTCTATTTTCTATAAATTTTAGAAATTTAGTTTATTATCTCAAGTTTGATAATTGTACAGATATAATTCATATCAATTATCCATGGTTACATAAGGATACAGCAATGACTCGCATAGTCCGGTTTTGATCAAAAAAATTCAAAATTATACCAAAACTTTTTAATGATATTAAGATTCTAATCTTTATTTCTAACGGTTTTAAAACATAATTCTTACATAAAAGTTGTTCAAAAACTGAATTTGTTCGAAACCTGTTAGCTAAATTGTCTTGGAAAACCGATGCGTTTTTGCTTCATTTCTTACATTTATACTTATACAAATATGGACTAAATATTAAGATAATTAATTGTAAAAAGTGGATGGCAAAAAATGTGTATTTTTTGACTTTGATCAAACCGGATTCACTACAGTCCGGTTTGAAAATTTCAAAACAAAATACAATACATTTTAATTGAGCAAATTAAAAATCAATTCTAAAAAATAGTACAAAATTATTCATTTATTCATAAATGTTCTTTTTTTTCTTAATGCACTCCCTTTTTGTACGATATATGTTATTAAGTTCCTTAATTAGTCCGGTTTCAAACAATACAAGATAGTGGCGGAACCTATTGTCCGCACTATGCGAGGCTGTACTTCATACAATTATTTAGTATAATAAACTCGCAAATCTCGTTAAAATAGTGACATATATTCATTATTTCTTAGTTGATAATCATAATAATTTCTAGGTTTTATTGTTTCAAGAAAAAATATTATTTGGTAAAACATACACATTTTCTGATGTAATTTTTATTATTAAAATATGAAATTCGGTTTTCGAACCTTTGCTTATTCGAATTTTGTTTGACAACCGAACTTCATAAAACCCCTTAGAGGTAACAAATCCCCAATAAAGTTTAACCATTTTATGTTGATACACGTGTAAGAAATTTGGTTCTAATTTAAAAAAATATATGATAATGTATCATTTTCGATATGTTTTTACACTAGTTTGTATATAAATTAATCATAATTTCATAAAAAAACCTCAATAATTATAAGTAATTCATATATTAAAATGCTTTTAAAATAATCGTTCTATTTATAAATTATATAGTTGTGTAATAACGATTCTTTTATAATGTACTAATTTTGATTAATTTTGTTCATATCTGAATGAATTTATCGAGATAAAACGACTTATTAACTATCGTTTAATCTATATCAATGTACTTAATAAATAATACATGAGCTATTATCTTTTTTTTATTGTGTTTGTTTTGAATTAAACAATTTCTCAGATATTAATACGCAATAGCGATTTGTATCTTTTGTTTAATAATATGTTGTTTGAGGTAAATGCAGTTGGCAAACATACAATGACTTCTATGTCATTGTTTATGTAAAATATTGTGTACACACTTTAGAAATTATTTTTTTAAATAATTTCTATTATGATAAAGTATTAACACTTATAAGATTTAAAAATCGAATTCTAAAAACTTAATACACAAAATTATTAATTCTAAAAAAGAAATATCCTCTATATCAGCGGTTCTCAACATATGGGTCGAGTTATCTTTTTAATTTGTCACGAAATGACAACTGTCACCATATGTCAAGTCGATGAACTGTAACTAATTGTGTGGCATTAAGAAGGTTGAGAAACGTTGGTTTATAAAGTATATACAGTCAGGTCCCTTTTTGTGCTGTTTATTTGTATGCGGAGGACTTTAACTCGATTAGTCCGGTTTCAAACATTGAATGAATCTATTACCTGGACTATTCGAGGTATTGCTGAACACTTGATAAGTGTCAATTTTTTTTTAAATTATAACAGAAAGAGGAATTTCATGATTAATTTGCACGGGTTCTCCATATCCTTTCAATTAAAAACAGTAGATACAGTAAAACCTGTTTTTGTGCGGTAGATAGAGACCGCATAAAAAAAATCGCACTTAGAAAATACGTCAAAGATTTACGAAATTCGTGAGAAAATGCATCCAAGTAAAATAAATAATTAAATTACATATGGAAACATTTTAAAATAATTTAATTTCTCATTGTACGTATGAAGACATTTTCAAAATGCACATACATAATTCACTGCTACTCGTGTTAATCCAAAACGCGCATCTTCTTATGATGAATTGGTTCAAAATCGTCTAACAGAATCGTTTGAGCAGGCTGCACATATGGACACTGATTGAAAACATTACTATGGTGGAATTGGTTAGATTTCATCAACCGCATAAAAAAATCTCACAAAAATAAAATTGCATAAAAAAGGACCGCACAAAAATAGGTTCTGATGTATAAATAAAGAAAACTATATTATTTCACAAAATTCTTCTGAGATGAAAGATTTAACATTATTTTTTTATAAATTTATCCGATTTCAAATCTGAAATTCCTTTCGTAAACAGTCAAAACATTTGTTTAAACTTCTATTGATTCAAATATCATATTTCAATGTTTCTATA